TATATATATATATATATATATATATATATATATATATATGTATATATATATATATATATATATATATATATATATATATATATATATATATATATGTATATATATATATATATATATGTATGTATATGTATATATATATATATATATATATATATATATATATATATATATATATATATATATATATATATGTATATATATATATATATATATATATATATATATATATATATATATATATGTATGTATATGTATATATATATGTATATATATATATATATATATATATATATATATATATATATATATATATATATATGTGTGTGTGTGTGTGTGTGTGTGTGTGTGTGTGTGTGTGTGTGTGTGTGTGTGTGTGTGTGTGTGTATAATGTGTGAATACATATACACATACATATATATACATATATATACATATATACATACAAACACATGCACACACACATACACACACACAAACACATATATAGTATATATAAATAAATATATATATATCATATATATACATATATATATACGTATCTCTCTCTCTCTCTACCTATCTATCTGTCTATCTCCCCCCTCCCTCCCTCCCTCCGTTCTTCCCACCCTCCCTCACCCCCTCCCCCCCCTCCCTCTGTCCCTCCCCCCCTCCCTCCTCTCCCTGTTATGAATATTTCCACTTCCTCCCTCCTTCCATTCTGGGTTCATTCCGTGACGCATGCTTCGACCCCACGTGTGTTTTCCGTTTCGATTATAGATGGTTTACGGGTTTCGAACGGCTGCGGGATTTTTCCATCGTTGCAGTGTTTCGATTGGGTGCCGTTGATTTGGGCGTTGCGTTGCATTTCCTTTTTGTTTTAATTGCATGTTTTGATGTAGGGGGAGGAGGGGGAGAGGGAGTGTGTGTGTGTTGGGGGGTGTGGGGGGGTTGAGTGTGTGTGTGTGTTGGAACGTGTGTGTGTGTTGGGGCGTGTGTGTGTGTATGTGTGTGTGTGTGTGTGTATGTGTGTGTGTGTGTGTGTGTGTGTGTGTGTGTGTGTGTGTGTGTGTGTGTGTGTGTGTGTGTGTGTGTGTGTGTGTGTGTGTGTGAATGAATGAGTGCGTATATATGTATATGTGAAGAATGAGGAAACACTCAACCGTGTTGATACTATGGTAGAAAAACCCACAATGTAAAAACTAGATTTATTGACAATGAAAATCAGGTCTGACCTGACCTGACCTGAGGATAGAATCCAGGTGGATTCCGAAACTGTCGTCTCACTTTCATTTTCAATAAATCTAGTTTTTACATTGTGGGTTTTTCTACCATATGTATATGTATATGTCGTACATATGTGCATCCCCGCATATATCTGTGTCCACCTACACATTTTCAACGTGCGTTTGTATGTGTTCATGTGTACGTGTATGGACGCATTTCTTTTCCTCTTTTTATAAGGACACAACCACAGACGCTTCTGACACAAGAGGATTTTCCCAACTGTAGACAAGACCGGTTTTGTCAAATGTTTCGTTTCTTGAAAGCGAAAAGCGAAATTCTATCCGATACTGTAATAGCTGTTGTTATTTTCGTAGAAGAATGCATTGCGTAATATGCCTTTGTAAGTTTTCAAAACCTGACAAATGATATTATATCATTGTATCATGATATTATATCATTATCAAGTAATTATTTCGTCTAAGATGGTATTTATATATATATATATATATATATATATATATATATATATATATATATATATGTGTGTGTGTGTGTGTGTGTGTGTGTGTGTGTGTGTGTGTGTGTGTGTGTGTATGTGTGTGCGTGTGTGTGTGCGCGCGTGTGTGTGCGTATGTGTGTTTCTTTTGTTTACTCTCCATTTTTTTCCTAGAATGTGAAGGTTACATTTTCTCTCGAGTATTTTTTGTATCTTGTTATCTTTCCTTTGCTTCTTGTACCGTATATCAAGTATTAAGTCTTAAATATATTTTAAGTGTAATGCTCGGCCAAGAATTTCTACGTAAATATTGATTTTCATGTTTCTATGTAATTTCGAGGTTAAAATAGAGCCATTATTATTATTGTTATTATTATTGTTATTATTACTATTATTATTATTATTATTATTATTATTATTATCATTGTTATTATCATTACTATTAATATTATCATCATCATCATCATCATCATCATTATTATTATTATTATTATCATTATTGTTATTATTATCATCATTATTGTTATTATTATTATTATTATCATTATTATTATTATCATTAATATTATTATCATTATTATTATCATTATCATTACTATTATTATTATTATTATTATTATTATTATCATTATTATTATTATTATTATTATTGTTGTTGTTGTTGTTGTTGTTATCGTCATTATTATTATTATCATTTTATTATCATTATCATCATCATCATCATTATTATCATTATTTATTTTCTTCTTCTTATCATCTTCTTATTTTTCTTCTCTTTCCTTTTCTTATTCTTATTCTTCTTTTTGTTTTGTAGTAGTAGTATACGATGTAGTAGTAGTAGTAGTTTTAGTACCATTATTTTTAGTCAATGATATTTTTTCTGTTTCTTCTGCTTCTTTTTCTTCTTCTTCTTCTTCCTCTTCTTCTGCTTTTTCTTCTTTATCTGCTTTTTCTTCTTCTTCAACTTCTTCCTTTTCTGGTTCTCCTTCGTCCTCAGTTTCTTAGCCACCTTTTTCGTCTTCGTTTTTCCTGTATTTATTCCTTCTCTGCTTAACCTTCTTTGCTTCTTAAAAAGGAGAAGAAAGAAATCACGACGAAGAGGAAGAAGGAAAAAGATGAAGAGCAATAACGAGATCAAAAGAAAAGAAAAAATATAGTAGAAGTAAAAGATATAAAGATGAAAATGAAGAACACGAAGAACAAGAAGAAGAAGAAGGAAAGAACAACAAGAAGAGCAATAACAAGAAGTAATAGAAGAAGAAGGAAAGTAAAAAGAAGTAGAAGAAGAAGAAGAAAAGGGAGAGAAAATGGGAGAAGAGGAATGAACAGGAAAAAGAGGAAAAGAGGTTTATATAAAGCCTTGATATATTACCGTGTTCTATATAATCTATATAATGCATGCCAAACAACTATAATGTTAGAATAATAGGAATACTCGAAAATATTCATAAAATAATACTTTTGATACACCTATGAATATGGCGTTTAATTCGTATGTTTTTTCCGTATTTCTTTTGTTTTTGTGCAAGCGAGTGTAAGCGCAACAAAATCGCCAAAATGTTGCAGATTTAGCAAAACGTTACTACGCAATAGTATTTATCAACAAACAAAAAATATTTCAATGGTAAAAAACATCCCTTTTTTTTTTACTACTGTCTGTTTACTTGTGTTCTTGCTGTCTTTGTCCAGCCTTAAAACTGTCTCTAATTGTAGATAAAAGAACTTGGTGTGTATTTTTTTCTCTCTTTCTCTCTTTTTTCCTCTCTCTAATCTTCTGTGGTAGGTTGTTTTTTTACGATCGAATTCTATTCGTATATACAGTAGTGTGCGTATGTGTGTGTGTGTGTATGTGTGTGTGTGTGTGTGTGTGTGTGTGTGTGTGTGTGTGTGTGTGTGTGTATGTATATATGTATATATGTGTTTGTGTGTACACACACACACACACACACACACACACACACACACACACACACACACACACACACACACACACACACACACACATATATATATATATATATATATATATATATATATATATATATATATATGTATATATATACGTAATAAATTTCCCGGTGTTTAACCTCTAATTGGTTTGAAACACTCGAGCTGCTAATTGCAAATGCGTATCTAACCACTCGACATTCTTGACGCCTCAAATCCATTATCTATTCCTCCAAGTCGAAAGAATTCACAAGAACCAGTAATTGAGGCGGAATTCGGCATGTGACGAAAGCAATACGTCATAGTGACGTCACGGACTCCAAAGCAGCTGGAGGCCATGAACCGCGACAATTAACCCTTTGTTCATTCGGGAGGCAAAAATGTTAACTCGTTTCCCTTCTTCCAACTCTTTTCTGTTTACCTCTTCTGCGTCTTTCTGTTTGGCTATGTGTATGCATGTAAGAGGGGGAGGGGGGGAGAGGGGAGGGGGGTAATTGTGAATATTTACGTGTGACTATGTATGTATGCACCTACGCAGGAACACACAAACACACATACACATACACATACACATACACATACACATACACATACACATACACACACACACACACACACACACACACACACACACACACACACACACACACACACACACACACACACACACACATACAGCACACATAGACAGATGGATAGATAGATAAATAGATGATATACACATACACATACACACATTCACACACCCATATGTACATGCACACACACACGCACGCACACACACACGCATACGTGCACGAGCACACACACACACACACACACACACACACACACACACACACACACACACACACACACACACACACACACACACACACACACACACACACACACACACACACACACACACACACACACACACACACACACACACACACACACACACACATTCACCCATACAAACACACACACACACACACACACACACACATTCACCCATACAAACACACACACACACACACACACACACACACACACACACACACACACACACACACACACACACACACACACACACACACACACACACACACACACACACATTCACCCATACAAACACACACACACACATTCACCCATACAAACACACACACACACACACACACACATTCACCCATACAAACACACACACACACACACACACACACACACACACACACACACACACACACACACACACACACACACACACACACACACACACACACACACACACACACACATTCACATGCACATACATTGCTTTGTTGAAGCAAAATACAAAACATGAAGGCTTTAATAACAAACCCGAGATTAAACCATTTTTATTTATTTTGTGTTAATTGCAAAATATTAGTGATTTTGCAAAGGTGATATGAAATATGTGACAATTTATGTGAGAAAATATGCACAAAAAATATTTCTTTTATAACACATATTATCAATTTTTAGCACTTTACTTTTGATATATTACATTAAAACAAATAAAATTTTGAACTGATATTTTTCTTAGTAATGTATAAAATACAGAAAAATACACAAATAAATTGGATGCATATAATTCACACAGTATAAGTATGTTCATTTAAATATATATATTTCCTTAATGCGACATGAAAATCTTGATATTCTGAGAGATCAGCAATTTTTATCAAATCTATTATAAATAATACATCCTCTAAAATGTGTTTCTTCTAGACATATATATATCTCAACAATGAAAAAGATGTGTATTGTGATTTTACCCTATATAACATTAAAAATATATATATCTTAACACAAACCATCAAACTACAATCTGTTATTAACTCAAGAGCTTGAATGACTGTGTTTTATCCGTGTACATCTTGAACCACTCATTGACCAGGTAAAAAAAGGGCTCGTCAACACCTGCATGGTCCTTCTGTGGATGGAAATATATTAGTTTGTTAATGCTGAATATTATGCACTGTCTAGCAATATGAAGTAAAGTGGTTGTATATGTATAGATTTCATGTTTGTTTTTTTGCAAATCTTTTCAACATTCTTAATGACCAGCAAATTTACTAAAAGATTACACTTATAAATTTCTGCAGCAAATTTACAAAAGATTACAATTATAAATTTCTGCATTGTGCTGGCCATGCTTCATCTAAGTACATTAAATGCCAATGAAAAATGCTGTTTTAGCCCTATATATGTGTATACAGAACAGCAAAGATAAGGCCATGAAACTTTTATAAGTAATCTGATCTTATTTCACCATATTCTAGTCACAAAACAAAATAGTCTACCCAAGCTTCTATAAAAATAAATAAATAAATAAATAAATAATAAAATTAATTTTTGAAAACAAAATCTACATATATAAATAGAGACATAATAACTGTAGACCCTTCTTAATGCAGAAATCTCTGTACCCCACTACTCTACCATAGAAAACTATAACACACCCAGGTACTACAGATATGACCTCCAGACCTCAAACCCTTAGACTGTCTCAATAAATGTCATACTGCATATATACACACATACAGTGGAGATCTCAAAATAAATAAAACCCAGACCTTATAAAACACACAGATTTAAGAACTTGAACCACCACCCACAAGATGTGAAAGCCACATAAACAACACACATACATACCGCAGATCCCTCAAAATACACAAGCCCTAAACTCTGAGAGAGATCCCTCCCGGCTTTGGGGCTGACCAGGCGACGTGTGGTCAGGTCAGTCTTGTTGGCGAAGAGAACGCCCTTCAGTGAACTCATCTTGGTTTCCTCTTTGATCTGAGAAAATATCAAATACCTTTCTCAATAAAAGAACTTTGATAACATGGAACAGAGGTAACAGAGATTTTAGGAATAAAAAATCTAGTAATATAGAACTTTGATAATATGGAAGTTTAGGGTATTAAATAATCTTGGCAATGCAGAAAGTTAGTAATATAAAATGTTGATATACAATTTTGGTAATATGGAACTCTAGTATACAGTGTTCAGAATCTTAAAACGTAACACATTCTTGCGATGGAATTTTACATAATACGACATTGAAGATTAGATTTGTGTCTCATTACATTACATTTCCTACAAAGCTGACTTATTGCATGTCCATGAGACAGAACCCTGATCTCTTATCAGCTTTCCCTTTTGCGCATATACTGCAATCCACATGAACTTTCCAGAAAAATAAACAGTAAAGAGATTGCAAATATAAAATAGATACCCATTATCTATAAATATTTTGTTTATAGTGTTCTTTTACAATTATATCAACACAGTAGTGTTTTGTCATTCAACAATTATATACACTAATCATTAAATCATGCTTTTTAAAAATCTACTAACTCTAGATCATTCTCCAGCCTACATTCTTATCTCACCCTTCACTATAAGGACAACAAATTGATAGCAGACAGGGAGAGACATTCAAGTATAATCTGGCAGAGATAACTGCGTGTGTCACCATGTGTCACCTTCTCTGCATTCTTGTTTGAAAACCAATGACGATAATGATAAGGTAGTAGTGATAGCACTGACGATGGTGATGATGATTAGAGTGATAACAATAAGATTGAAAATAATGAAAATAGTAATAGTAATCATCACCATCATCCTCATCATCATTTTTAATAATAAGGATATTATATGTTTACCTTATAAAAGGCTAAAAGTATAATTTCTTTTAATTGAATTTGAACTTCAATTAATGAATATGCTGTATCTGAGAAGACAGAGCTTATCAATGTCTTCCCTGCTTTTGGGGAAACTTTTCACATCTTCAAAAACCTCGCTGGAGA